GTAGCCGTCAGCTTCCTATGGACACTGTCGTGGACACTGTTTCGCTCGGGCAAATAGAAAGCTGACGGCTACTTCCTTGCCTTGTTGTGTGAGAGCTTGTGATGGTGATGCGCTCCAGTGAGTTGCTCAACATGGTTTGCAACGAGCAGTATGGATGGACTGCGTTCTATTGTTCTGCCCGGACAGACCCCGCCACCAGGACGGCTGGTAGGGTGGTGCTTGGGTCCGCAGATGTTGCATGGCGAAAGCACTGGCGCTAGCCCTATGCTCGTTGCACAGAGCTTCCTACTGACCTGTTGAGCTTGGGGGCCTGGGTACAATTTCATGCGCTCAGTGAATATGTGCACAGGATGGTGCAGACAGAGAGCGGTGCATTGCATCAATCACAGGTGCTCGCTGATTGAGTACTCGCCCCTAGAAAAGCGACCAGAAAGCGGTATGTGGCATTGCCATATGGTCCCACTTGACAGCAGCTGTAGCCGTGGACACAAGTTTCAGATTGACAAGCGGCCTCGACAGTGTGGCCTTCATGAAGGGCTTGGCGGGGCATGCAGGACGCGAGGAGTGCATCGTTCAGTGTGCGATATGAGCTTGCCGTGGCAGGTGCACTGCTGCGACGATGGCAAGAACATGTATATCTAGGTCATTTGTTTGTTCCAGGGTTGACATTCACAAATTGTGAGCAGTGGTGGTGGTACACAGGGCTGGATGACTTGAAACAGCCGAGCACGCCAAAACACACACGGCGGTACTCTGTCTAAGGGATGTCTTGCTGCAATCCGGCAGATGTGGCACAACACAGGTGAGGTGTCGATAGGCAGGAAACGGCACAGGCAACATCGGTCCAAAAACACCTGCAGGTGAAATTGCTGGTGCCGAAGGGTGAGAGTCCCTCATGGGCAGCAGAACAAAAGAACAGTTCATGTGTTGAGCGCAGCAGCGCCACCAGACGGCGACCACAGTCGGCAGCTCCCTTGGAGCTACTAACTCCATGGCGGCTGACCCGCATCCAGGTTTGCAGCCCAGTTGGTGCCTCAGGACGAAGCCAAGGCCAGTCTGCGCCAATGTATTGGCAGGTATTCATCCAAAAACGGTGCTCCCAAAAATCCCAACAGACATCAGCCAGGGGCGATGGGTAGACAACAGGGCGCCCGACGAGCTGGGGAGTTACGATCTGAAGCCTCGTTCGTTGCCCAAGCACGGCTGCATCTCCAGATCGTCCAAGCTCACTGGAGCCTTGGGGGTAAGGCTGGGCAGGCAGGCGTCTCGACAGTTCAAAAGACAGCCCCTGTCAAACGGGTTTCTGAACACTCCGTTGTCCCCTCTCAGGTACTTGTACCTGCAGCCGGGAGTCACACATTCCCAAATGAGAGCAGACCGCTGCCACATGGACAATTGTTTTCTTCCATCGGTGAAGCACCACGGCCAAATGGCCATTGTGTCATCTTGACGCAGCCCATTCAGGACAGGAAGCCACAATACCCACACTCCACAGTCGTCCATTGAGCAAATGGAAACAATGGGGATGAGTCAACACTGACAGCAACAACAAGCAAAGTCTTCTGAAACTGAAAAATGGCAAGCAAACAATGCCCAGGAGCAATGTGCTGCGCACAGTATGCAATGGTCGAATGTGTTGTTGCTGTCACAATCATTGCGATATGACAGGCAACGAGCACCCCGCAAAGGACACCAGCAGGGTTGAAATATATTCACTTGTATCCTGCAGCTATAGAAAGTGGGCAGCAGGCAACTGGAAATTCTACATCATGCCAGCAAAACACTTTCCATGGGCGTGGCTGAATGCAGCTGCAGATTACTTGTGTACTGCACATGTTCTCCAGTGCACAATATGAACCACAGACAAGAGAAGAGCGAACATAAACTATCACTGTGACTCTTCTGTTTCCTCCACTTACTCACTGCATGGAATAATGCAGTGCATGCATTGTCATGCCCCCACCACGTTCTCACCTGTACCAGTTTGCCATCTCATTCGTTGTCAGATTCCTGAACACTTGTGAAGCCTGGGTTACCGCAAGAGCTGCTACGCTGATGCCAACAAAAATGTCAACAGCCAGAAAGCCAACCACCCACCCAATTGGGGGCGTTTTGTTTACTGGGTTGTGGCTGTGGTGCATCGACATCACTTGATGCAATCGAACAAAGGCGACAATCGCGCTAACCACCATGGCCACCAGTTCCACCCACAGGAAGATCAAAAAGTAATGGCGATTCCCCTTTCCAACTGCATTGCCCACCCAGGGGCAATAGTGATCAAACACCTGCAGGACAGGAGGTCAGCTTCAGGTTTGCACGCTGTGGACATCGCTGACCATAGCCCGAAGGAAACAAGATACGAAGTTTGTGCATTTCCGACACAGTTAATTACGAAACTGGGCAAATCTGGGCCTGGCTGCAATACTTCATCTTGGCCAGAGAAACTGCTCTGGTGTGTATTCTATTCGTGAAAGCTGACGTTTACAAGACTAATGCTTGTACATTGCCTGTTGGAAGGGATAAGAGGAAAGCAAGAATGGAATTCCTGATGCCAACTCAACTCCCCAATTGTGCTTCACCAGTGACTAGAGTCCTCAGAAGAGTTGCCATACATGAGCTTCCAACTGTCTTGCACTGGCACAAACATCGCTCTCAAATATGCTGATAGACCCACAGCTGGCCAACAATTGCCCACACTGCAATGCTTCAAAAACCTTCCCATTTCCTTTCTTTCATATTTTCTCAATGAAACAAGTCAACAAAATTTGTAGATCATTGGGTGCTGATAAAGTGATGCCCATCATCACATTCCAGGTTCAAGGACACTGCCTTCTCACGTTCCACCACATGAAGTCAAGCATTGACGCAACTGATCACCATTTTCGGAACTACAGTACTTGGTCTGATGCATTGCACTCCTCATCAGTGTTGCCGATGATGATAATCATACCACAGTGAGTTGCAGCACCATGAACAGTCTCGTGCCAGACAATGGCCAAGGTTTTATAGGCACCTGTCCACAGGATTGATCAGCAACGTCAGCTAACAACCAAGGCAATGTGACTTGTCTCACCTCAATGCACCTGTCTGTCACCGCACAGTGCTTTGCCCGCAGCGGCCTGACGATCTTGCAGGTGACACAAAGCTGCTGCCAGTTGCCTGCCCACAACACTGGAGAATCGAGGTTCCTGGTGCAGATAATTTTAACAATCAGAAACGAACAAAAACAAAGCAACAATCAGCCACAAGCTGGCGATTTGCGGAAGAGCCAAAATGATGGATGGCTTCACTGGGATTGAAACAATACAGTGTTGCAACCAAACTGCACAACTCTTTACAAGACACGAGTTTCTCAGCTTTCAACGACAGCTGCAATGACATCTGTGGATCTGTGCATCAGAGAAGCAAATGCAGAGCTGCAGCCATGTGCAGTCATATCAACACAACCACAGCGGCTGGTCAGCACACCAACCAGGCCAAATAGAAGAGCAGGCACCATGGTGCCCAGTGAGCACAACACAGTTATTCCTGCACAATGGCTAAGCAAAAGTTCTGCCCATTGGAGACCAAGAAATACCCTACTGAACCAGCTTTGGACCCTTCTGAAGGTTTCGGTTTTGCATGAGCACTTTGGGACAATACATTGTGACTGCAAACACAGCACATGAGCGCTTGGACATCAATTACTAATGATAACGAAGGCAATCAGAAGATTGCCACACTGAGCCTTCCAGCCACCCACCTGTAAAGATCCTCCATGTCCTCTCCACAACCCAAACCTTTCTGCGCCCTTGAATCGCTGGCACAACCAACAGGAATGAAACCAGGGTCGGCCGTTGTCGTCTTGTAGAGAAAGAACAGCCCAACTGTCGCCAGTGCCACACACATGCAAGACCAGAACGCCATGCCCACAGCAACGGTTGCAAATGTGGGCGCCCAAACGACCTGGCACAGAACCACCAGGCATTGTGGCAATGAATGGCTGGATCCCACTCAAATCTTAATTTTGACAGCATTTGTCACTGGACAAGGCCAGCCCTTTCGTGAGAAGTCGGATGTTGAGAACTATACCAAAGCACATGCATTTGTTGTGCACCATATATTTGCTTGCCTGCTTTTCCAGCCAGCCCAGACAACTGCTAGTCAGCTGTAGCACGGGCCAACGATGGATGCCAACACAATAGGAAAATGCTGAGGGCCAGATGTTGAGCCAACTGTTGGCTAACAAAACTGCCATGCATCACATGAGCACATGGTGGCCCACCGATGTCAGTGCATCAAGCATATGATTGGATAGGCCTTGAGCAATGCAGTGCTGGTTTGAACACAGAGTTACTGCACCCTTCTGAAGGTCGGACCTGTGTGATAGTACAATGTGGACATACGCAGTACCCTGCATTGACTTGTTGCAGTGAATCCTGTTTTGATTAAGTGCCAGATATATGCAGTGCACTGCCATTCCAACTGTCAGGGTTATGAATCGCCATGTGCTGCCTGGGAATGATGCATAAACATCGACACACAGTCAATGGAATCACCCAAAACTGCAAATTTGCTGGCTGCGGCCCCCATTCCCACCTTCTTCACAAACACCAAGAGAAGGCCCACTATGAGTGCCCAAATAACAGGAGCCAGCTGTAGGTCCACCAATTTTCCAAGCTGCCTGTTCTTGCAGCAGACACCCCTCCGATGTTGATTCTGCCGCTGTTCCAGGAGGTGCATGCCAAGGTAGCGGTGGCCTCTGTCAAAAGCCAACTGGGCTGGCGTGGCCCCCAAGGCATCCTGGACTGAAAGGACACACTTGGAACCCCCCTGCAGAGCCCATCGACAAACAATCAAAATTAAAATTCACAAGAATATAAATCAGAACTAAAATCCAAAAGTACTGCACCACAGTCCAACAAGGGAAACAACAAAGGACTGCAATAATTGTGCTGTACCGCCCACACTTATGACCTGTGCCATCAACCATAGGCAGCAGTCCGAATTCAATGCTCAGTGACTGCTAGCGCGCAAGGGAAACAAGGACACTCTGGGAACAAGCATTGAGTGTGTGTGAAGCACTTGCCATCCACTCACACCAGCAAGGGCTGAGCCACGTCAACCCACAGCAAATGTGATACAAAAAGTTGTCCATAGGCAACTGTAGAGCCACAAGCTGGCCCATGTGCTTTTGCAGAAGTGATGCTGGCCCAGCAGTCCACCCACCTGCAGCAGGACTGTAGCAGCTTCGCTTTGTCCTCGAATGGCCGCCCAGTGTAGGGGGGTGCAACCTGGGGCAAGAACAACATTCTTGGTCAAGCAGCAATTTTTCGTCCAGGAGGAAGCAACAAAACGGCACCTAAAGGTGCTATTCCATGATGCCCATCCAATTCATGCGCTTCTGTGAACATCCACAACGTCATATTGCCAGTGATGTGCTGCTCCACAATTTCAGAGACAATTTCTGCTCCCCCACGCCATTCCCTCCTACAAGAGGATAGCAAAAGCACATAACAATGCAACTGTTGGGATTGATACTTGTTCTCAGGCTAGTAGTAGTCAGACAACGACAGTATTAAAGTGATGATTCCAAGGGGCAGGGCACACAAACACTTTGCAGGCACAAGTCCAAGGCACATAGGGCAAGAGCTGCACATCAGCACAGTGATGGGATCAGTGACAGAAAGAGGCGCTCACCCTCTTTATCTACAGTTGACACGCTGGCGCCGAGGACAAGGAGCAGCCTGATCGTGTCAGCAAACCCCTTGTAGGCAGCCCAGTGCATGGGCGTCCGGCCGTCGTTGTCAGTGACACCCACGTCCAGATTCCATTTGAGAGCAAGGTGGTAAATGACAGCCGTTTGACCATACTGTGCTGCGACATGCCAGACCTACAGGATAGGTAACGATCCCAGTGAACAAACATGCACAACGAGGGTACTGCAACTGCAAACAGCAGGCCTCTTGCTCTGATGTCCATAATTGTACAAGCCTTCTGGGCTGACAACAATTAAACGGCCACATTTGCCAGTGCGAAACATGCTCTCTTCAATGCACTGAAGCATAGAAGGAAAAGCAACACACAACTGGATTTTCTTGCTGTCGATTCACACAAGTGTTGAGGAATGCCAATTCACTGCAACGCAACCGCACAGCTCCTGTGCACAATACGCAATTCCAAGTTTGGCAAGTCCCAGTAATGTGTTGCCATCGTCTGTCAAGTTTCCATCCCAGATTGCAATCATGTCCAGATTCCCTACAACCATCCAGGGGCCAACGGAGCAGCAACAAGGCACCCACCGTGTAACCCCTGCTGTCCGTTATGTCTGCCCTTGCGCCAGCCCTCAGCAGAATCTCAGCAACAGCCAATGCACCCCTGACGGCTGACCAGTGGAGGGCGGTCTGCCCGGTACCATCGGTGCTGTTGGGAGATGCGCCGCGCTGGACAACCGCACAAGAAACACGCTCACTGCAGGCATCTCACAGCTGCAATGGACAGTTGTCGGTCGCGAGCGGTGGCCATCACCAGGCCTGATGCAGATAGCAGACCTGGGGGCTGTTGGAGTTGGAGTCGGTTGCTCGGTGCATTGGGCAAGCCATGGCAATAGCAGCCCCAAAGTCCCGTCATCTAGGTGGTCACCAAACTCACCTCAAGCAAGAAGTTGGCGACAGAAACCCGGTTGTTCAAAGCAGCCCATTGCAATGGACTGAATCCCTGGAGTACACGTGCGCACAGAATGTCACCAAGGCACACTTCCAGGCGTGGGGTGCGGGTGGGGTGAGGTGCACAGCCCGCTTGCCCACGGCATTCATCCAGACATGTCGTTTGCCAAAACTTTGAGATGGGTCCGGTGGAGGCCCACAAGCAAAACAGCACAGCCAATAGAAGGCCACCACGCCCCTTGCGCAGACGCGAGACTGCCAATTTTGCTCTGCCGGGTGGCCATGTCCCACACCTGGTCGTCGGGCTTGTGCACGCACTCTGGATCGCTCTTCACGAACTCCCTGAGCTTCTCGAAATCGCCATAGGCGCACGCTTTCCACGCAGAGTCGATGTTTTCCGCTTGGTCGACCTCTGTGCGCTCGGCAGAAGGGGCCGGCGTCGCCTGCGGGTCGTCGAAGTGGTTTGCGACCATCGCAGCCGGCTGGGTGGGCAGAGCACGTCCCAGTACTTTAAGCCCATACGGTTGGCAGTCACCTGCTCGGAAGCTGTCGGTTCCTCTTCAGTCATGGAGTATCTCGTATAACGGCAATCCCGGTTCATAGTGGCTGCGACTTGTTTACGTGCGTGAAATCTGGTTTTGAGATGGCCCAAGAATGCAGTGGTGAATCTGGGATGAGGGTTAAAACTGGGTTGCCTGGGTGCGGGCAGCCCTGGAGGCTTTCAGTTGACACACAAGGAAGCCCCACGACAACTGAACACTCACTTTCGGGAGGTTTTCAAGCAAGGCCCTACTTGTTTGCCGCTGTTCAGCAGTGTATTGGGCCTCTTCTCAGCTCATGTCGATTTTGTGGCACATGGGCAGTGTCTTAGCGCCACAGCCCCCGCTCGATGCTGGCACGACTGAGCAACATTGACCAACAGCGACTCCATTTGGTGGGACATTGAGTCAACAATTGTCATTTTCTGGCCACCGTGAGCACTGTAGTACTCCGTCACAAATGCCATGAGGGTCTGTCATTGGCGCCCACATTCTCAGGAAACACCCTCTGTGCTTTGAAACATTCTGTGCCACGCCTCTCCATGTCAATACCCCAAAACCCGTAATTTGAATACCACCACTGTCCTGGCACTATGCGCAAGGATGGGATGCTTGAGCTGTAGGATCTATGTGGGATGCGCACACAATCGGCTGAGAAGAGCACAAAAGATGCGGCACAGTGACGTGGTCTGCCGTGCGTGCCAGTGGCAGCGACCGCAGCATTGACGCATAATAACTTTGTTTGCAGACGCAGATGGCCATTGCCATCATGGATGATACAAATTATGCCAATCTATTTGATAGTGCCCGTGAGAGACAAAGGGGCATTGAGGGCGAGCGAAAGCATAGCACAAATCCACCACGACCTAAACGTTCAGGGTTCGTTCAGGGAACGTTGAGGTTGTGCATGTTTAACCGAGCACAACCCATAGACTGCGCTAGTATAAGCAGGTCTGCACGTGGTTCTGAAAGAAGGAGCAAAGACACGATGTCGCTGTCCAGACTGGGCTGTGATGCAACGCTGATCAAGTGTGCATACATCGATTTCTGACATACCATTGGTACCCAACGGTGCACTATGCCGTAAAATGATGCGTGGCGATCAAGCTGTGTGTAATCGATACATGTGATGTACAACAATTTGCACGCAATGATGTGTTAAGGCTAAGTGGGTCGAATGATGGCCCCAAACGCTACCTTGGAGTGCTGACTGGAAGCGCGGACCTCCGCGCTTGTTCTGTCCGCAGAACAATCGACGCAGGTCCAACGGCGCATACACGCAGCCTCACATGCTTGTGGCTTAAGGCGGCTACCACACGGAGCTTGGGCTCGCATATTTGTTATTTCGGCTACAGGTTCGAACAAAAGTTTTCTTGCTACTGGCTGCACGAAACACGACCAGTTTTTTCCTCTCCCCAACCACCTGCCTGCCTATTTTCATCCCCGGGATCCCCATTATCGCAAACGTCCATACAACAGCTCAATCATGACATTGCCAAGTGTAAAACATGCCATAGACACCCTTTCGCTCAGAGCCCAGCTCGCGGGGCTGGGCTGCTAGAACACGGAGTCTCTGCCATCACCAGGACCAGAATTGTGAGCCAAAAAACAAAAAAGAAGATAATCCCAGCCTTTCAACCCCCATCCACCATTCAAACAGTACTTTCCTGACTGCTGGGATCGTTTTCATGGCCATTTTCAAGCCTAAAGATGCTTGCAAACCCAAATAATCCAGGGCACAATAAAATTGTGCGAAAAGAAAGAGCGGCAACTTCTCCACAAGATATATTGCGGACAGGAGAACTGATCAAGGCATTGCTCCTTAAACTGCAGAACGTTTCCATAGGAACTCATGTGATCCTAAACAAACATGAGCGTGATTGAAAAGGCAGCCCGCGATCAAGTCAGGTCAAATGGAACCAGGGATCTATCAAAGTAGTTCATGAATATGTTCCATTATTTCATAGTGTCTGTCTACTCTGGCCATCCCATGTAAGCCCATCGCTCTTTAAATGCGGGCAATCGCTGGCCATGAAACGTAATTGATCCACCCAGTTAAACGGTGGTCATCGTGTGGGTACACGAGCGTGGTGCATTACGTTGTACATTGTGGCGCATTATGGTCTGTTTGCGTTCAATTGCGGATGGACAAATTTCCCACAATTTCAGCATGCGTTGAAGTCGCGATCGATTGGCGGAAGCTGGGCATCAGGCATCACGACATGCTGAAATGAAGCCAGTCGTGAAGATGGCACTCGGCGATAGAATTCCAAACAAAGTGAGCAACAAATGTGCTTTTTCTGACTCAGCAGATAACAGTATTTGACTGCATACCTTTTCCTCGAAAAGATATTCAGTCTCATTAGGGGACGGATTTTGGTTCAAACAAGTGGTGGCGATTGCTCGTGTACACACATATTGTCTTTAGCACAGTCTTGAAATACGTTTCAAGAGTCGATGTATGAGCCGATGCAGCCCATTCAGCATCGGGCCATTTCGGTCTTTTCGCAAAAGGCCGCTGATTGACATGCGCCCTTGGCGCTGACAAGTTGAGTTGTTATCTAATTGTGATGAGTAGATTCCCGCAGTGGGGTCGTGCTGAATTGCGCGCAGGCACTCCCTGCAAATTGCTTGCACAGCATCCCGGCATTGGAGATAATACAATTGAGTTTCCCCTCCTGGTGGACTGCCAGCGCGTGAGGCCATTGCGTCGTAAAATGGCTCTCAAAACTGAAGTGCTTTCTTGTCGACGGCACGGCAATCTTGATGACTTATCGCTGGTGCTGCCATGATTTAGATGCTGAAGGGTTCCGGCAAGGGTTAAAGGGAAATTTACGCCAGCCATGGCCAATATGATGTTCATTGGAAAACCTGATGCTGTTCGTCAGGTAGGTGGAAATACGATTTTGGTGTTGAACGGGGCCGACTTGGCCTGCTGTTGCTCAAATTCCTTGGATTGCTTTTGCTATCCAATGACTAGCGCACCCCGCGCACCTGATAGTCGATGATGGGCATAAAAATCAATCACAATTTGTTGTCCTGAAGCAGTTGTTTGTGCTTCCCTGGCCAGCATGGCTTTCTACAGGATATTTAGCGCATGCGATCAACGCCGTTTGATGAATTTCCGATTGGGGAGACATGGCGGTCACAGGGGATGCGCCAGGCGCCCTGGGCAATACGGCAGCCAGGTCCATTTCTGGCAGCAGTTCTCCTTTGCAGTTTGGACCCATTGGTCCACGGGCCGCCATTGAATGTTGTTCGCAACACCGCATAATGACCACCGTTTCACTAGGTGGATCACTTATGCATTATGGTGTGCGACTTGTATGCACTTCAAGAATGTTGTTTATATGCAAGGCATTCTGACTTTGTACAAAGAAAAAAAAATGGGTTTTAGACTCACAGAATTATTTCTCATGTGATGGGACTTTTGTGAGCATCAATTTGATTGTTGTGGGAGATGCCATCCGATTCAGAGATAAATGTTATGTTGGGGTCGCGCTCGCAGCTGAAATATTTCTACATTGCCATTGAGTGTATGGGCACCTTTAGTATATGTGTTATAGAGTGGGTTGCATCGTGGCGATGAGTGGGCATCTCTGAAGCGCGGTATGGCTGGTTGGTGATGGATGACGGTCCTTGTCACGTGAAAAGGAAAGTTCTGTGGGTGCAAGCAGACTCGAACGGTTCAGTTGCGGGGGTCGTTGCCACCGTCGGCAAGGCTCTTCGCTGTGGGAAGGGTGAACAAATATGTAAGCCCTGGGCGTTGTGTGTGTGGTGTGGCCTTGCGTCTGGCCGTGTGCCAACGCCGTTGAAGCATCGGCGATCGTGGATTCGCGCTTCCCGTGTGCACTCCAAAGGGGGCCGTTTGAATCGCATCAACGGCATTCCTTCAAGAATGTGGAATAAGGGACCTGTGGAATGGCACGAGTTCCAGCGGAGCCAAGGCTTCCGTTGTGATGAACCCTTCGGCAGGCCTATATTGGTCGGAGGGTGACCTCGCTACGTAAAGGGAGCTCACAGATGGCCAGGTGTCTAATTTTGCTCCCACACGCCCATCCCATGAAGTATGAGCTCAGATTGTGAATTCAGGTTTTGGTATGTACCATGAAGGCCACGCTTATTACGTGGTCGTGACAGTTGTACGGATGAAAAATTGATGAAAATCAATTCACTCGGCAAAAATGTGTGTCGTGCGGCAAGAGTATCGTCTCAGACAAACTAGGAAACTCATATGCATCCCCACTGGCTTCTCCCCGCCAGAACGTGCAGGATGCTGGCACGATACCATGTTCATCCACCTTGCATTCCGACCACATACAAATCGGAAACACAGCAACCAGCCGTTCCAAGCCTTCCAGTGCGGTTGACAGCAATAGCCTCTGGGATAATCGGGGTTCTAGACTTGGGCTCTCCAGCATTAAACACAGACTCAAAACTGATACGTAGCAACGAAGCACTTGACAGCTTTCAGCGATTTGCTGACAGCGTGGGTACTGTCTCCCTTACCCAGCAACCCCAGCTTAGCGCCTGCAGCCACAGCCCTTACATATCCGTCCGTCGAAACATGCGATCGTCATTCATTTGCCGTCACAACACTTACACGTCTGTCCATTGATTCTTGAGATTGCCATTCAACGCAGCCAGCTCCACATTCAACGCTGTCCATGCAGGCTCCAACACAGTGCTCAACTGCTGTCGAGCATGTTCGATCCGCCACCGCCTGGGATATTAATTAAGGTAAGGAACCTAATTACAGCGTCACCAGCTCATTTTCTTTATTAACCCCAGTCCGCCCACTGCTCAAGCAACTCTGCACCTTCTGCTGGCTGCCACCGTTGCCTAAGCGTCCCCATGCCTCTATAGCGCTGAAAGCAAGCACCCACAGGCAGCCCGCAAAATGGGATGTAAAACACAACAATGGTTTATTCATCAAAGAAGGAAATGCCAGAATGGTGCTGGTGTGTGCCCCAATTCCAACGCACACAAACGGCATCCCGGATAAAAGCAATGCGTGTCCCCTTTCCTACAACTGTCAGTGGGGTTGTATGAAGTACAATATAAATGAGCTGAATCGCATTGTACAGTGACCAGGGTCCCATAAAACCATATAAACAAGCAACACGGCACATTTGGGCCACAGGCCCCTTCCCGCATCATCACTAGCGAAAACCTAAAGGCATGCAATTGATCCACCACCAGGAAAAACCCAAAGGCATGCAATTGATCCAAAGCTGCTCCAACCTAACGTTACTGGCGATAATCCGCTGCCACCCCATCACCACAACGGCAACCATGTGGTCAGCAGGACTGCCGCACCCACAAAACGCCTTGTCTCACAAGTGGAATGGGGGCCTCATGCCAGGCTCCCGGCTGCATCACATCACACGCACCGCACGCCCTTTCCCCAACAGAAGCCACAGCACCAACGTGGAGTCCTCTGTGACGTTGCAGTCTGCCAGCCTCATCTTGTCAGACAGGATCGTCCCATCGAACACCAGACGCTGGACGTTGGGGTGATACCCCCTGGCCTTGTAGATCTTCTGCTTCAGGCTGCCCACCGTCTCACGAGGGTCCACCTCCATCGTGAACTTGCTCTTGCTGGCCTTCTCCGGCTCAGGCGCAACCACAGCACTGTCCAAGTCATGGCCTTGAGAACCCTGATGGTCCTGGCCACCATGCCAGTCCTGGCCTCTTCCAGGATTGAGGCTTTGTATCGATTTCAGAGGTGGAATGCTGTCTGGGGAATGCTGGCTGCCTGTCTTGCGTCCTGCACGGAGCCGAGATGGTCACAACAGGCCAACGCAAAGCATGCAGCAGGACAGGCAACCGGGTGCAGCAGAACAACTGCAATGTCTCGCTCACAAAAAAAATAGCATCAAACAGTGTTCCACGTTCTGAGTGTCCATATCGACTGTGTCCCCTTCTCTTTTCTGTACGAATCACTACTGCTGGAGCATCTGTCCATATCCCCTATGCAGAGGCCACTGCATCGATCGTTTTCGGGCATGGTCAGGCTGTTTACTGCTATGGATTCCTTGCCCAGCCAACACACTGTTTGATGCTAATCATTCTGGGGCTACTTGATGTCTGCAGTGAACGGCAATTGCCTGCATTCTTGGCAGTATTCTAACATGCTTGGGGCTCTGGACTACATATACAACACTAACATAAGCCGCCTGGCACTCCAGAGCCACTAGTATCCGGTATCGATTCGTGTGCAAGCATAATTCCTGTCAGTGGTGGTCCAATGCATCCACTTCCTCTGCACCATGGCAACCAATTGCCACCAGAGACTCACCATCTCTCTTATACATAGATGGGCTAGATGGCCGTGGCTCAACTGCCTGTCCATACTGCTTGACGTCCTCCCGGTAGCCACCATCCCTGCCACTGAGAGGATACCCCTTTGGTGGTGCACGCTCGTGTTGTCTGTGCTGCTCGCCTGCCGAGCCATATGTGTAGCCACCCTGCTGTCCAGCATACTGCGGACTCTTAGCCTCCTGATACTCATCCTGGTGCTGCCTGCCGTCACCCTTCCTGTGGCCATCTTGCCAGCCGTGCCTGGCGGCCTGGTCGCTGATGCCGCCATACCTGGGCTTTCCATGGTAGCTAAGGCCATCGAAGTCGTCAGAATCCTGCATCCTCCTTCTCTCATGTGCTGGGTTTCGGCTTTCGACCAAGCCAGTCTTGGCCTCTCTGTGATGGCTGCCATGCTTGCCAGAAGCAGGTTCCTGCAGGTGCTGCTGATGGTGATCATCGTCCTGGGGTGCACCATATCGTGGGGACCGTCCGTGCTTCCGGTCCTCATGGTCCATGACACCCTGAGAGTGTACATCAACACACACACACACACACCGCCTCAGGCACAACTGAGAGACTATTGCCTTCCCGGATGGCATCATCATGCAGCACAACAACACAGCCTATCCACATGTCAGGCCAATGCAGAGCAATCTGTGCCACTGACTGCTTGCCGCCCACCAGATGTGTTGTGGTGATCGCCCACCAGATTATCCACCAACCTACACTCTGGTGCTACTTGGCAAAAACATCCCGAAATATTTGCACCAAAAGGCTGGCACCGTATGTTCGTTATGAGGGGCACAAATGGCCTGAGTTGCAATGTTTCCAGCAGCTTCTTTGAGCAATGTTAGAGCTTGGCGTTAGGTACAAATATCAGGGAGGTATCCAAGCCCAAAGGAAGAACATGGCATGGAAATGGTTCCTGGCTACTTGGAACCATGCATTGATATTGTCAATGAAACAAGCCACAGGTCACCTGACGTGGGCATCCATCTAAAACGGTTGTGAGACTCGCTGCCACCTTACACAGGAGGTGGGGCCGCAGCTGCGCTTGCATCAGGAGGTTGCGGCCCTCCCAGAGCCAAGCGTTCCCACACACGCAGTGCGAGCAAGCCGCGCACGCCCTCCCAGGAAGACCAACATCTGAAGCGCCATCCCTTCAAATCACCCCGCACTGTGCCTCGCATTTCACCCTGAAAACGATGCAGCCCGCGAGGTTGCCGCCGCGCGCGCGCGCAACACGTCCCAGGCCCCTCCCCCCCTGCGTCGCCTGCCCCCACCTGCCAAGGAAACGGGTCCACGGGCATCGTCGAGTACACGAACGCGCCCTCCCCCTTGCCGCCGTCCTCGCCCTCCCTGGAGCGGTCCCCCAGCGAGCGCGTGCGCTGCATTGCCACCGGTGGGTTGGACTCCGCCTCCCCGCGCCCGCCGTCCCCATCGTACGGCGACCCGGCCCGCGCCGCCCACCCCTCGTGGCTGCCATCATGGCCGCCGGGCATCCCGTCGGGGTCCGCCTCGCGCCTGTGGCGCCGCGCGGCGCCGCGCCCAGGCCCCCGGTCGGGCCCCCCGAGCTCGTCGGCCGAAGAGGTCAGGTCGAATGCCCCGCGGGACGGCCGGCCCCGCGCTTCGCGCCTCTCCGCGTGGCCCGCGCTGCGCGGCCCGCAGCGAATCTTGAACAGCTGGCGCTCGTAGAGCAGGCTCATGCTGGGGTCCACGTCGAGCACGGGGGCGAAGTGGCGGATGAGGGTCCGGTTGTCCTGGAGCACGGCGCGCGCGGTGGCCGCGTTGGGCGCGCAGTCGAAGACCAGGCAGGAGGGCAGCTCCAGTGCGTGGCTGCGCTCGCGCTCGTCCTCGTCCACCAGGTACGTCACTGCCGTCACGAAGTCCTCCAGACGGCCGAAGATGCGCCGCGAGAAGCGCTCCTCGATCTCGGCCTTGATGCAGCTCACCACGCGCACGCCGCCCTCGCCGCCCGACGAGTGCGGCGTGCCCTCGGACTGCCTCGTGCGGTAGACCACCGCGTAGCAGGGCTCCGCCGCGTCATAGAGCGACTCCACCTCGTCCAGGTCCTCCGAATTGATCTCCACGGACTGCAGGCGCCCGCGGTCGCCGAGCTTGGACCCGCCCCCCGCCATGCTGGCCATCCTACCGCCCCGCGCCCGCCCCTCGCGCGATCAGACGCCAAAAAGCCGCGCCGGAAAAGCAGCGCCGCGAAAAGCCGCCGCCCTCCCAGTCAACACCCTCGATCCCAGAGGCCGACGGTGCGCCAATTTTCCTTCCGCCCGCGCCAGGCGTGGCCGAATGGGCGGGACGCTGATGGCGCCGGGAAGGGTACACCCCTCCGCCGAGAATGCAGCCCTTCGACGGGGCCCCTGCGGCCGGCGCCAAGGCCTGGGGCAGCAGTCCCGGGGTTGAGCCTCGGGGAGGGGGTGTCGTGGCACCAGACCGCGGCGGTCCGCAACCTGCCCTGTCCTCTCCCCTTGGTCGTAAGCCGCCCCGGAAACGGCCGCCCCGAGTGCACAAGGGGAGATATCCAACACTGGGGCGCCCGCACGTACGGCGGACTGGCGCACACTCAGGCTGACTCGTCCAAGGTCCCTTGGAAGGCCTTCAGTCGCATGGCGCAGTCAGCGATCCTCGTTCAGTGTGATTGTGATGTGATACGGTGGTGGGCGGGCTGCCTGGCGATCTGGAGCGCTTTGAGGAGCGACCGCCAAGGTTGAAAGCACGCTGGGCAGGCGGGGCCCAACGAGCCCCCTCCTGCTGCGGCTGGCGGGTCCAAGGAATGCAGGGCGGTGGTCGCACCAGAGGAGTCCCAAGGTGAAGTTAGCGCTTCCATTGGCGCTGATCCTGACGTGAAGTGGCGCAGGGCAGCGGGGCACCCGACACAGAACACACTGAATTGCAGCCCGGCAACATCGACACCCTTTCTGGGCGCCCACCTGGCCGTCCCAGGGCTTGCTCCATTTGGGCTGTTATTGAAGGCAGGCATCATGGCGATGAAAGGACGAAGCTAATGCAGGTGGAAAGACAGCGCTGTTCCTGGACATTGTAAACCCTTGAAATGGCGTTCTATGGGCAGATGGTGCTCACAACATTTTGCAATTCTATGTGACGGTTTTTGTCCCATGACCAATGGGTGGCCATTAACTCGGGAGACTGCCCGCTGGTAAAAATGCACGCGATGGCGTCCATCACGACGTCAGCCTTGGCCTCACTAAAACGCCTGCCAAGTGTGCACAGTTGCCTTGGTCCACGTACCAACGCAGCCTGTGGAGTCAAAGGCAGAACTCGCTCCCGGTATTGCTGAGGGCGCCTGGTGCATCCTGAGCGCCCGTTATGTCTGCTTAATCAGAAACTCATTGCCTAACGTTATTCTCATGATTGACAGCTGCAAGTCGAATCCTTCAAGGAGATTTTGGGCAAAGCAGGGACCAGTTGGGCTTCTTCTTGACGCATACCGATCTTGGAGTAATTCTAGGAGTTTCGGTGCGCCGACGCCTATCCCACGGCCATGAAATGTCCATGAAATGTGCGTCAATCAGCCCAGCATACGTTGCATACTCTACGCCGTTGGTGCTACGATGCATGGCAATGCACAACTGCATGGTTTAGTTGGAATATGTGACTCTTCTCGCAAATGTGGCTTGGAGCAGCACATCTCGGAATTTTGAAAATGCAAACTTCAGACAGACCTTGCAGGGGTGCAGGGCACTAGACACATCACTGCTGTGCCACAGGTGTTTAGCCACACCATTTTGCTTGCTGCATTACGTACATATACAGTGGGTTTTGAAACACACTCGTGCTATATACTTTGGGATGTTTCTTGCTGCACTCCAAAGCAGTGTTGAAATGAGTTTTTTCAACAGTCGTTAGGAGCAACGGGCAGTCAGGGGTTGTGCATCACTGCCTTGTTGGCTGGCCCATTGCAAATACTTTGTCAGGAGACATGCGCTCCTCAACTATAGCTTCGACATTCTGAAAGAGTTTCTTACAAGGCCTGCAGTCCACAACAACGCGAGCCATTGACTCACCCGGAGAAGACAGGGGGCGTCTTCAAGCAGAATGGAGGCCCGTGCTCCCCATTGTGTCAAAACCTTTGGCAAAGTCATCCGTGTCAACTTGTCGTCTGCAGACAGCAGTTCACAGCTAGAAAATGTTGCTGTTCTTCCTCTGCAACTCCCTACACCTAGCACAACTATTAGACAATTCTCCACTCTAGATCTATGTGGCATGGCTACAGTCACAGCGCCAACGACGCAGCAGCAGGCAGAAGGCCACTTGGGCAAGTACAAGCATATCCCCCTTCAATACCAACAAGTGCCCAGAGCACTGCATTGCATGAATGCTAGGTCTGCATGTGCCGACATCCTTGCCACCTCCTTGGAAAGCTGTTGCCACACATCCACTGCATAAATTGGTCCTGGCACCGATGTGCTCCCTCACAAACGTATGCACCACGAAAGAGAAAGCACGCAAAGCCTCCTGTGGGGGCAGCAAAAACTGCATCAGGTCAGCGATACCCCCATGACAATTTCCAGAGTCAGTGATCCACTGAATGGCTGCGAATGCGTCCACATTAATTCCACCTTCAAGTTCATCAAGGCAACACCATCTATGTGCTACTTGGGGCACCATTCAGAGAGTTAATTAATGCAAATACACACGTAAAAGCAGTAATACAGGAATCAGTGATCCACTTCTCGCTCATTTGCAACTCTGCAACAGCAGAAGGCCATCACCAGGCTTCACAGGCAATATGATTCAATGAAGGACTGTAACAAACCAGGTCATCCTGGAATGCACATGGGAAAGAAGCACACAAGTTTCACATCATCCTGGAAATAATCTCCTGCAGGTGGGAACATATGCCAGCCGATTGCGCATTTCCACCTAGAACTTCTGTTTGGCGGCTGGGATGGTCCATGAAGTTTGGACGCTTTGGTACCTTGCTGGGACACTAGATTTTGACACTCGATATGCTGAACGGTGAACCTTTTCTGTGCTGTCCCAGGGCTTCCCCTATAGCTCCCAATTGTGTGAGGAAAAGGGTGGCTTTAGCCCTGCATGCATGTAATTTGCCATTTGATACGCCAGCTGAAGTTACCAGCACAAGCTCACAACCCCAAGCATGTGCCTATAACTGCACTCTCCTTCAGGGAATCGTTGTAACGTCTTCACAACTTTCCTTTGGAGCCAATTCCCAGGCTTCAAATGCAGAGTGCTATTGCAACAAGGTGCGCATAGCAACACAAAGACTCCAACAGGAGCATCAAGCAAATCAGCATGGCTAATACTCTGCTGACAGCGCTGTTCTTGCAGTAACTGCATGTGGCAAGGCAATACTGTGCTGGATTCTGCATGCCATTGAACCCAACTCTGCACAATGGCTCCATAATCTCCACAGGAACTAAGCGAACACTTGCTCATGCCAGTCATGTACTCAATTTCAATTCTCCCTTTGGCCTGCAATCTGTGACTTCCCCCTACCCTTCTGCACTTTCATACCTGCAGTTGGCCCATGCACAGCTGCCAGAATTTCGAATGCAAGGCAAGTGCTGTTATGATCTGCAATTGTGCCTGGCAGGGCATCGTCCTTATTTCTTTTTTGAGCACCATCAGTCAGCCACCAATGGGATTGAGGAGCTCAAAATGCTCTGATTGCCGGCGATGGTACCTGTGGGGGATCCTTTGTCTGTGAGAGGATTATGGCACTCTGATTCTGCATTGGAAATGCTCCGTCTGACAAAACATAGTATTCTTGCTGTTCTCCCATGACGAGTCACGGGGCACCTGCTACACTATGTTTGTGGATCAGCAGGAGACAAGAAGTGTTGTTTTCGCTCCCAATGCACATCAATATCCCCATAACTAGATCCGTTTACACCTGCAAGGTGCACATGAGTCTCTGTAGCTGGTTGCAAGTGCAATTGTTCAGAGATCATTCTCACAGTCTGGCACTGTGGGCAACACTCACATTTGACCTCTTCAGCAGTTTTCTCCTTGGCCTCTCCCTCTGGGGCGCCCATCTCCCCATCCCCCTCCTCCTCTGTGGCGGACTTCAATTCTGACTCAAATTCCTTTCACAGTGGAAGACAAGGGGCAGTGACAAACCATTCACAATCGCAAATGACACCATCTCTGGCAACGGTGGCAGCGATTCAGATTCAAACTCCTCTTGCATCAAATCGCCAGGCACAAATGATATGCACTGTTCATGGAGTCAACCAGGCCAATGTCTTCACCCACAGCAGGTAGAACTGTGCAACATTCAAAGTAGAGGGAATGGTGCTTCTCCATAATTCAATGTTCTTGTGTCAGAGTTGAATACAAGGCACACACAGGAGACATGATGAGGTTTTGTGCGGGTCGCAGTAACAGTAGCACAGCCAAAAACACACAGAAACATGTGCTGCTGCACCCAGTGTTGAATCCTTGCTCATTGAATGCAAAGGTGTCCATTTTCTTGCCCCTGTGCATATTTTCCGTTGCGCCGTGCATGCTTGCTGAGGCACTGAAGGTTCAATGGTCTGGTGCACAGGCTAGCATTTCAAAATTCCCAGGCTGTTGGCGGTCTTTGCATTATGTGAATCTGTGCGCCCCTTGAAGTTTGTTCATATGCACCAAACATGCACCCATGCAGACTGCACCACTGGCCTCTCACCTTGGCAGCAACCTGGAACCCCTTCAACGTCTTCCCCAAGCTTTTGCCCAACTCGGGAAGCTTCTTGGGGCCTGAAGCGAATACAACGATGCACACGATGAATTTTCGACCAGTGTCAGACAGCAAACGATGCTCATGCGCCACCTTTGCAACACAGGGAGGGCGTCCCGGGCGAGTAAAATTTGCTTGTTGATAATGGATACTGTCGCTTTGTGAAGACTATCTTGTCAAAAGAAGGAAAACTGACGTGCAAGGAAGGTCCCCATTTACCGGTCTGCACAAGGGTCCTGCTCGGATGCCTTATCCGCTTCTCCTGACAAGGACAATCCCCACCAAACACTATCCATTGCGACGCGCACCGCCGTGCGTATACCATTCTCCACTGAGCCTCACGCACCAAACAGCAGCGCCGCAACGCCGGCGATGACGACCAGCTCGGGCACGCCGAGGCCGAACAGGCCCATGCGTGTTACCTGCCCACGCCACGGCATCCGCTCAGTCCCAAATCAACCCAGTCATGTCGCACGGCCGGCCGCTGAGCACACCCCGGGCCATCCAGAGCATTGCTACCTTGCGCGAGCCGCGACACCTCGAGTACGCGGCCATGGCGCCGCAGCCCCCCAGCCGCCTGCCCTGCAGAAACGTTGAGCTCCTGAGCCCTGGCCTGGCGCACGGCGGGGCAGCCGGTCGTGGGCAGCATGCGTGGGCATGCGGCCTGGCGAGGCAGGCTTGGCGCTCCATGCCGCAAGGGTTGGGCAAGGTGGTCGCAAATCGGGGAACCCGAATGGCGTCGGGGATCGGACGCCGACAATGAAAATGCACGCGGTTGGGGGAGATCCTGCAAATTGATCAAGTCTGGCGGTTTCGCCAGACCGCATGTCCTTCCAAGACAGAGCCCACAGCGGTGGAAAAAAGGTGTGCATACATGCCTGCGCTGTGTAGTGAGTATGATGCGTCCACGTGCATAAATGCGCATACGCACTTGCGGGACACTTTCCCTCCCGACTCACAAGATGGACAATTTCAAATGTATCACAGTCCACGGTGCAATTCGCTGGCCTGATTTGCACACCGATGACCATGATGGAGCCCCATTCTTGCCCACTACTTCGAGACCCACGGTAAAGCACGAGACATTAAGTGCTTCCATACATATATGTGCTTCCTCTTTCCCATTTTCGCATTTGTTCCCAAGTATTTTTTCCTATTCGATCATTGTAAAACTTTTTGCAACACTGTTCGTGAATTTAATGCTAATACTATCAGTGAGTTCCGGAACCTTAAGGTCGGATCCGTTCATCACCGTGTATCAGTGCGCTGCCTTTGGCCATCGAAGCATTACTGCGGATCTAGGGACATTGTTGTTTAGACCAATTATTTGGTCCTAATACTGCAACCACCAGCACTAAGCATACTCCAACCTGAAACGTTTCCAATGAGCAAGGATGGAAAGGATGCAGCCTGCGGTGATGGAACTGCAACTATCTACAGCAATGCCTGATGTCTGTGGATGGTGAAAGATGAATGTGGGTAATCTTGGGTTTGATTATTAATTTCCATACGAAATCAGCCGAAGGCACATCTGCGGAAAGAAGGTCTCTCACTCTACTGTTTGCTTCAGTACTAGGAATTCATCTTGAAGGGTTTATCCCATCGTGTTTACACAACGGAGAATTGGCGACCATTTGTAGCCAGTGTGATTCAGCTTCCTGGAGACACCCAGCGAGTATGTTGGCACCGAGATAACATGGGATCTGGGTGGCTCTGTCGCCACCAGAGCTGGCTGGCTCTGGCAGCAGCAAGCTCGCTGGGTGGGGTGTTGGGATGCTCAGGCCCTTTAACATTGGACGCCCCCGCCACCGGCTCTCACTGGCGAGGCCTTCGAGGCAGCGGTGGGCGATTGATTGTTGCAATTGCGCACAGGGTTCCTAGACATGTGCGCACGCCTGACCTTCTGTCACGCAATCTCTGAGAAGAGCATATAGATTGATGCCCATCACCTCATTTTGATCTCCTCGTTATTCGTTTTGACATACGCAGGGACACGGACGTGCCCACGTGCGGGATGGCCCGGTGCTGGGGACATACCCCGAGTGGGCAATACCCTCTGCCCCGTTTTGTGGCTAGTAGATGATGGAGGTAGGAGGGCAAGGGCGCAGCGCGAGTCGGACGGCCTCGGTACCGCGTCACTTTCTCGCACATAGTTGTCTCGTTCTGGCCGGCGTTCTCCAATGTCCCCTGGATATACAATGGATACAAGCAGAACATGCATTTGGCTGTTGGTAGCTGAGACTCTAGTCCGATTTGGACCTTTTCAATGCAGCTGTTCCTTGGTGTAGTACGAATGGACCTTGGCAATGGTAGTACTCCAGGTCTCCATTTCTTCACAAATAGTGTTTCATCATGGATCGGGCAGTGGGGCTCAAAATGGGCACATCTGTTTTATACAGCACTCACTATCCACGATTGCGTCAAGCTGGTGACTTTCAGCTGGGATGCTTTATTTGAGGAACCTGGAGGGAACATGGACGCATGGGATAACAGCAATATTTGGAATGTCTGATGACATTCCTGGATCTGCAGCATACAGTTGTGGTGGGCGGCTAACGTTGGTTGTGGGGTAATTGGGGTGGCTTCCATTACCCTTTTGTGCTGTAAGATATATTCTCGCCGCACTGTTTGCACCTGGAACGCCCAGCTGCGGTTATAGACGGCAGTGTGCTTGCGGAAAGCCGCTGTTGACTCAATTTCAGTCAGACGCCGTGCCAAATGGACACAATTGCCGTCTTGGAATATCTCACCCTGAAGTCCTTTTTATCTCTATTTTTAAAATGTGCGCTGATGGCTTGACTGATTGACTCAGCTGCGAAAGGGTAATCGCTGCAGCGGGCCACCAAGTGGTGACAAAGAAAGTGTTGCCATGCACACAGAAGTGCAATCGGGCACCCGGCCGCCCTCCCAATCAGCTTGCCGCGTTCAGAATGCGACGCAAGCGTGCCCAGCCCTGCGAGCGCCCGTATCGCAAATACGGTGGTGCATCACAAAGGGGCGCCCCCCATCACGAGGCAAATGCGTGTCGAATGCGAACGCCCACCCCTAAATTTGACACGGCCAGCAAATCAACCTGGTGGTGGTCATCTCCCTCTGTCGCACAGAACCCCGTGAGGCCAGCACGTGCTGTTCCCATCTCCCGGTTCACGGGCCCACCGTGGCACATCACGACCGTCACAAAGCCGAACAGGCCGCGGCGTACATCGCCTGCTCCATGGCGTCGTCCCCTCCATGTGTCCGGGCCGGCATTGATCATGAGATGTGAGCGCTGATCCGAGGCATCACTCGTACTTAGGCCACCGCCTCTTGGGGATCTCGCCGCCGTGGGGTGCCCCCTTGCCCACTTATTTGTGCTCAACCTCTCCTCGGCTCAGTTCTCTGCTGGAGGCGGACGAGTTACCCTCGCAAGGCACAGCAAGAAGACCTCCGTTGGGTAAGCAGCACATCGCGAAACCGCCCCTGGGTGCGCTCCGCGACGGGCGACTCTACGACTCGCGCCACTGCCGGGCGCCCGTGCAAGCTTAAGCGGTCGTATTTTCCATGGTACCCTCAGCGGGTTTGCGCATCTTGGACATCGGGGGGTCGGGCCATGCAGAGGGACGGGGGCGGAGTTGTGTGGACGGCGGCGCAGAGGGCGTAGGCTGCGATGTAGGGGAGTCCACGTGAGGTCATGGCAGCATGACCCTGTGGCCAGACCCTGCGACCACGGGACGCGTCCGTGAAGACGCAAAATAGTTTGGGAGGCGCGTTCCATCGAATGTAAACGGTGCGCGGTGCTGGACGCGAGGTGGGGTGCCACGCGCGGCCTGCGAATCGAGTGACGGGGTGGCGAGAGGCCCACGCTGTGCTGGATGAAAACGTGCAGCCTGGGACACAGTCGATGTGTGTACAGCAGACACCCCAACAACGGTGTGATCTTGCCTGCGGATCCGTTACGAGGCCGCTGCGCGATCCAAGAGCTCGCGGCTCCGCTGCAGCCGGTGGCGGCCGTGGGGGGTCTCTTGGGTGCGCCTTGTCACGGTGCGTAAGAGAATATGCGGGGTGGTTCAGTGGTGGTTGGCGTCTCGTCATGGGGGCCCACGATCTGGATGCTGCGTGCTGCTGGCCGTTCCACCAACGGTGTGGCAGCTGGGTCTGTGCCGGCGACGGCGCCACTGGTCAGGCAGGGGTTGGGAAACGGGCGTGGGATATTTGCTTGCACGACCTCAGCCCCGCTGCGGTTCGTCGCGCGTGTGGGGGCACTTCACCTGGATAAAACCGCCCGCGGATCAGTACCCAAGGTTCCACCCGGCCACTTGTCATCCGCGCCACGCGGTACACGACCGCTGGGAACGCGTATATCCGAAAGGGAAACGCTGCCTTTTGCAGGATTTCAATCAGCGCGGTATCGGTGAGACACCTTGGATCGCGCTGAGTATCCATACGGTCAAGTACCCTGTGGCCGAGGTCGCCACAATACATCGTAATGACAAGCATGAGCGCATCCCAAATGTTGGATTCTGCGGTTGTCAGGCGCCTGTGGGGCAATGTTTGCAACATGCCGTTCCAACAGCACGATTAGCAGGGTACAGGGGAAAAGAATGGGCCATCAGTAACTTCAAGGAAAATTCCATAGCGAGACTTTAGAAGCGACTTGTGGGCCTTTATTAGCGGGAATCCAGGCCAGGTGCTCAAGTCGCAACTCCTGTGGTCGCCTCACGGCTGTTAACCAGATGCTTCGTCGGATTATTTCATTTCCCATGTCAGGTACCATCTGCCGCTTGTTAGACCTCTAAAGCCGCACCTCCTGTTTCCATGTGCAGGGTGTAACTAAGCAACTATGAAGACAATCTTCGCTGCCGCAGTTCTCTTCTCCGTCGTGCTGGTAAGGACGCCCAGCCCCGTGCCATGCAATTTGCGTCTGCGCGCGGATCACCCCCGTCGAGCGCTGTTCTGAGGCAGCATCATCTCCTGAAATTGTTCTGTGGAGAGTTTCACTGTTTGGGGTGGGTCGATGAGCTCAGATCACGACGTGACGGTTCGTGCGTTCTGCGCAAGGATGCACCGACACGTGTGGAAATCGTTCCGAATGTGCCTGACCGTCTTGGCTGGCTCCTCCAGGCTGCCCATGGCCAGGGCTTCCCCAAGTCCATCGGTCTCTGCGGCGAGGGCACCTGCTCCGAGGTCCCCATCATGTTCGGCCCGCAGGGCGAGCCCAACGGCGTCGGCCCCGTGGCCAACACCGTGCCCCTGGGCACCGAGGGCGGCTACCCAGAGATGATCTCTTTCTGCGGCGAGGGCAAGTGCGTCACGGTGTGCGTCTTCTCCATGGGCCCCACCGGCATGGCCGAGGCCATGGAGGCCAACCTCGGCGTGGGAGCCATGGGCGACTGGCCCGCCAGCATCGGCGTCTGCGGCCACGGCATGTGCAAGGCCGTCCCCGTTAACGTGGAGGGCGGCGTCGCCGTCAGCGTCGGCCCCGTGGACAAGTGCGACGACATCGGTGCCCCTGGCGCCTACCCCGCGGACGTCGGCGTGTGCGGGCTGGGCATGTGCGTGGCCGTGCCCGTCGTCTGCGAGGGCACGGCCCCCTGCGAGTGCCCGGCCTCGGGCTAGACGGCCCGTCCGGCGCTCGCCGGGTGCATTGCTGCAGCGTGGCCTGCAATGGCGGGCGGCCACTCGTGTGTTTTCGGCGGTTAGCTATTCCTGGGTGTTTTAATGGGGCTGCCAAGGCGCGTGCGCGTGGCGTAGGCGGGACATAATGCAAGCGGTCCGTCTCAGCTGCCTTCCAAACAGTGGGTGGATGGGTGCAGGCTAGGGGAATGGACTGGGTAACTTCTTGATGTAAAGGAGGAGCCTGGTGGGTTTACGAGTCGTGTTGTTCCGTGGTGGAGCGAGCAGCAGCGAGGCTGCTGCTTGGCGGTCCCGGACGTGTTGGTGACGCTGCGAGAATCTCTCATTGATTGAAGCACTGTGTTTGCCTATCCTTTATCCACACGAGACGTCTCTTTAAACAATTGTGCATAACCGCGACTCTTGTTTTCGGCATTGTGAATCGCGGGGATGGCCAGATGCCACTGTCCACGAACTGGCCGAATGAAAAAAAGCTCGGCTTGTCTGGAAGGTGTGCATGCATTTCGCATATGTATGTGCAGTATCGTTCATAACAATTATAGAATGGATTTAGATGGACACTGAGCTGTAGATGAACCTCAAAATCTTGCGTTCAGCAACAAAGCACGACTCGAGGGTTTTATTCCTCGATGTATCTAAATCAGCGTTTCACGCTCTCTCTTGTGCCCAGCACCGCGCTGGGCGGGTGCCAATGCAAAGGAACGTTGTGGGGTGACCTTCTATAGAATTTCTGCTTACAACGGTAATTCCACCGCAGAAAAGGTCTGGCTGTGAGCGCTAAATGCATGCTGTCTGGACAAATGCTTGAGTTGCTTCGGCAAGAGACGGGATGGCCAACGGTGCACAAGTACTGGAGCTGAAAGTGGAGGCGCCATCAAGTCGCCATTACTGCACGGTCCACCTGCTTCCATTTTTGCCGTTCTGATCGTACTCGCCCCCCCTGTGCCTATGATAGCGCACCCCGCCATCTTCTTGATGGAAGCTGTGGAAGGCAACCTTTGGACGCCCTTTCATGAACAGCTTTGCTGCAGACAGGACTGCGCGTCCATGGCGCCTTTCATGGTGTTTGCCGCCTCCCAATGCCCACGATCAATGCATGAATCACCAACGCGAACCCACTCGTGACCTCGCTGAGCCTCCGGTGCGCAAACAGTTGAGGGGTTTTAGGCCGGTTTGCGCCTGCCAATCTGAGTCATGAACCCATCAAAGGGGTAAGCAGCTCAGCATGTTTCTGGAGCGCTCCAGAAACTCACAGTGGTGCTAGCACTACTCAGTGCATTCAAGTCAGAGTATGGCCGTTCGCAGGTGGCACAGGACACAACCGCTGTGCACTCACCTCAGTTCGCATTCCCCATCACACATACACATCATTAATCTAGTTACAGCATTCGCCGGATGACAACAAACGATGAGGCTGTGTGCGGCAAGGCGGCCACCACCCACCCACCACCCCCACCGATGAAAGCAGCATTGTGCTGGGCTGTGACTGCCAATCACGACACAACGCCTTTCAAGCAGCACCCCCCAAGAGGATACATGCTGGGTCAGTGGGAATACTGTTGAAAGTGTTCAAGAGCCAATTGGCATTGCATCATTCCCCCAAGCGACTGCCTCCTTTGACTCCCCAGTAGTAATCCCACAACATATCTGCCTACAAAAATTTTGTGCTCATCTCACACCTACCCACTCTCCATGGAAACATTTACTATCAGCAGATTTGGCAAAACCAATAGTTTTCCTCACACCGCTGCCAACGATGCATGCCAACGCGTCCAACCGCGGCCCCCACCTGAGTAAACAAATGACAAGCCACAATACCACAGGCACAACAAATGGTTCGCCAAGGGTGTTGCTGCCATTCTGAATTGAGAGCCACCTTTGCAATATCCGCAGACGCCAAAATCTCCCAATTCAAGGCATGTTGAGGCACCCCAGCGAAACAAAATGAAGCAAAATCAACTGATGACACCGTCAAAGCTGCAATCAAAAAACCCTCAATCCCTCCATCTGTGCGGCAATCATTGAAAAATAGGCAACAATCGCCCCCAATCCAACCCCAACCCACCCTTGTGCGAAATTTGGCCCAAGACAACGAGGCGCCCCTCTGGTGTCAGCCTGCCAAATGGATCCATGCAGCACAATCATGCCTGGTAAGAGAACAAGATTCTGTTCAAATGCCTGCCACACAGCAGCAGCCACACGTTGTGGCACCTGCCTTCCCTTCGGGTGGACAAAGTTGGAATGGACACAGCACACCTACCCAGCCGGGCGTGTATATAACAAATCAAGTATCACACTCTCAATACCGGTGTGGAAGTCCATGATCTGGTCACACAGACGTCTCCCTACACTCTGCATCCTCTTTCCCTGTTGCCAAGTCAATCTCTCAGACATTGCTCACTTGTCAGTGCAGTGCGTCGCACAACCTCGCTGGTGACATTGTCCAGAGAGGGCCCCCTTGAAATGAAAAGCACTTCTCCCTTGCTCACTAGATACACTACTGCCATTCATGGATCGTCTTCAGAATCAACAAGCTCTCCATTTCATGTGCATATTGCAGTCAATCAGCACAATGCGATTGGTGGAGATATAGGCAGGTGTGCAACTTCCCAATGCCCAACACCGTCACTAGACTGGATTGCCTGTACTGCAGAGATTGCTCAGATCGTTGCTTATCATGTTGATCAGGGAGGGACTCTTCTTCAAAGAGAGGCCCAGTGGTGCCGTCTCAGCCTCATCTGTCATCACGTGGTCCCCATCTGCTGTTTTTGCCTGCGCTTCACTGGTGTTTACTTCATCGTTGGAGTTGCCAACTTGACCACTGGCTGGGGCACAAGCATCCAGGGGAGGACAAGCCCCTGCCAGCGTGGGGTCCATGCCACCGCCCATGGGCCCAGGCACGCTTCCAAGGGGCATCTGAGGAACGATGCCCATCGGCGGCGGCACCATTGGGAAGCCAGGGAATGGCATAGCACCTGGCATTGCACCTGCAGGAGGAAGAACGCTGCTGTGAGACACAACAGGTGTCCTGGAATGCCCAGCATACGACCAGCAGTGGCAATCTGAGCCACCACAGCACAAGCTACATGCTATTTGCAATGGGTTGAATATCGGTGGAAATGACTCAAGCACTGAACCACCCATGTGCATCTTAACCCCATCCTGCAGCTCAATAGCACGAGGTCAGTGCTTCTGCTCCTTTGCTGTTCCTTTGTAAAGGCTGTCAAATAACAACATGCCCAAAATTTCACCCTCCATGCCATTCAGTGTGTGCAACATTCCAAGAAACCAGCCAGGTTACAAAGGGCACAGGTTCCATCAACTTCCAACAGCCTCAAGTCTCCACAGTGGGTGGGGGAGCTGCCCAGTATGCACATTGCTCTCCTGGGCACCTGACAAGCTGGGCACTGAAGATGGTGCCAGTGAAGGTGGCATCACGCCCAATGGGCTTGCGCTTGGCGGTGCAAAGGGGGGCTGATTCAGGACCGGCATCCCGATCGCCATCCCACTGGGACCCGCGGGTGGGACACAGCCAGGAGGAATCCCCATCAAGGGCGGCAAGCTGAACACAGGTGGCTTCATAGCCAGGGGTGGCGGACGGTAAGTCGCTGCACTGCCATTCTCCCTGGGGATCTTCAGCCTCTTCCTGTCAGAAGCCATCTGTCCACGCATGACGATGTTGCAGTCAGTCCAATGAAGTGTGCTGGTTAGCTGCAAGACTGGGATAATCTTCTACGACCAGTGATGTAAACCCTTGCCACTGCAACTGATGAACATGCCACCACAGACCCAACGAGCCTCAGGAGATAGGGACTGCAGGCTTGCATCCCAAATACCAACAACACATACAACTGCCCACAAACTTCGATTCCTTCATCGATATACATCAAAAGTGCTTGCCATTATGGCAATGCAGCAGGAACAAAGTGGGTTTGCAAAAACATACCTTTGCCAAACAGCTGCATTGTTCATTTTTGTTTGGAGACCGTCAAATAGTGCTGAAACAACCCTTGCAAGTGATCCCAACTGTGACGTTCCAATTTTTCAGATGCACTTTGTGTGACCCTTGCTGAGTTCTTGCAACATAATTTGATGTCACAGACCAGGGGTTATGAGTTCTGCACCAGTTTTTCAGCACTGTGTTGGAAAATTCAGTTGGACGATGACATCACAAACCAAACCCAACAAGCTGTGGTAAGTGCTTCTTTCCGGATCCAATGGAGTGCAGTGGTTTGCTCAGAGGATAAGTTTGGATTTGTGCACATACTGGGAGCTTTGCTACCATGGAACTGAGATTTGACACTTTGTAGCATTGATAGTGCAGGCAATCTGATACAACAACGGTGAGTTCTGTTGCTGGACATGCCACTCTAACATGCCCTCAATATTGTTCCATTCTTTTTTGTGGGGATCCCAGCTCTATTTGCAGAGGTGGGGCACCAGGGACAACACCTCAGTAACTTGCAATCGACACCCTCAACTGAACCAGGTGCAAACAAAAGCTCTCACAGTGTACTGCCCACCTCCTGCTCTGCAGCGGCACTGCCTGCACCAGCCCCAGCCAAAGGCCCAGCAGTCGCGCTTCCTGAGCTTCCACTGCCGCTTGTGCCAATAGCACCTGCTGCAGGGTTTGCAGCAGTCGCGGCAGGGGGTACAGGGGCAACATCAACCTGCGATGCACCACACCATGGACACATGTGGGCCTGCTGACCCCCAATGCAGAATATTTCCACAGCAGCCAAAAACCAACGTGACATCCAGCATGCTGGTAGACACTGTGTGTGGGACATGGCCGTGGCTGCAGAGGAAATTCAAGTCAAATACCACCCAGCTGCCAATCGTCTGGTGTCCATTATCTGTGACAAAGCAGCCAATGCAAGCATGATCGCACTTCCATCCAAATGGTCCACCATCACAGGGAATCGCATTGTTGTTGTGTGCTGGATTTGCCCCAACAGCTGGCTTGCACAGCAGCCATAAGTATGCCACTCACTGCAATTAGTAAACCAAAACTGAATTGGTACACTTTAATCCCTTCACAGGGTAGGAACTACAGACAGCAAGAAAAGATTCTATGCATATTGCACAAGGAGGGTCTGCAACAAACTTTGCTCACATTTAATGGCCTACAACAATACTGTGGCCAGGGGCAAGGCAGTTCAAACACACCTCTCCATCTGGTTTCTCAGCCATGCTGGCATCGCCCATCATCTGCATGCAGCAAGGATACTTGTCCGTCATTACGCTGCACTGGTCATGCACCAAAAACAGCGAGCTTCTTTTCTTGTGATTCATCTCCTTCAATGACCAATCTACAGTGTTTGGCGAATCTCACAACACCCAGGTTGGGCACATAAGGGACATTGCTGCCTGCCCTGTTTTCTCTCTGTACCAAATATTGTGAGACTGTAAAGACCAACAAGAGAGTCTGTCGGCCCAGTTGTAACTGTTCCAGCCAAGGCCAAAGTGTAGCACCTGCTCTTTGGCTGGTGCCCACACCAGGACACCTTATGACACTGACATTCAGCATCACACTGTAACCAACAGTCGACTCTGCCCCCAAGGTAACGTTGACAAGCCACACAATAGAAATATTGCGATGCACTGCGTCAGAGCATGAGCTCAGTGAGCTCAGTCAGTGCTGCAGCACACACGCTGTACTCTGTGGCAGCAGCAGTGAACACAACTTTCTACACTGTCCATCAGCTTAAATTTCCTGCCGTTGGGTGTCAGGTCTGCCTCCAAAAAGAGGCAGTCGCACCGTTTTTGCCACCTGGAACCCTGCTAAATCCAAAGAAATATAGCCAATAACTGTGCACTGAGTTGTTGGGCAAGCAATGGCGTTGTGGCCATTGCTGCTGTAGCATTCTGCCGTGTGAAACTTGATTGATTGATTGACTGACCAATTGACTAAAGCTGGGAGGGATGCCCATTTGTGCAACTTGCTTTCCCTCCCATCCATAGCCACTCCAAGAGCAGGGGCTTCCAATTGCTGCCTTTGCACGTCCCTTCACAAGGAGCTCACGTTTGAAAAAGTTGGCTCAAACATCAAAACAATCGCCAGCTCCCACAGTTTTGAACTTGGATCCATTGCTTTGGCCTCTGGCTTGCTCGTTTTCTACAACGGGCTGGCCAAATGGGGTCCGGCGAGCTGCAGCTTCTCACTGCCCTGCAGTTGACGCCCACCATAAAACCATCGCCAGCCCGTCTGTGCCATGCCCCAAATTGCAAATCTTTCACTATGGTGCAGCCTTACCCGTCGCACAGCATGCTGCCAAATGTTCCTCAACTTTAGAGGCGACACTGGCCTCTTCAGAAAATCGACGGCCCCAAGGCTGATCCCCTGGAGGACGTCCCCCGGGGCCTCAGACTCCGACATGAGTATGAGGGGCACGCTGCCTTTGCTCCACACCAGCTGCTCGGCGTCGCCCTTCTGACAGCGGAGATCTTCCGCCTGAGCACACAACCCAGGGAGGCATCAGCGCCACGCCGCGCTCGCCCCATGCGACACCCCAATTCTCGCAATTCCAAATTCACACAGATTGACAACCTCGTGGTCAACACAGGGCATTCCGAGGCGCACACACATCGCACCCGTGCGATTCGAACCCCTGTCGCGCCGGGCAGCGCGAGACGCCGCACACAGAGCGTCGCGCCGGGCCCTGATTTCCTGTTCGCAGTTTGCCCGTCCATGGCGTCGCGCTGCGGCGAGCCAGCAACTCGCAGCGACCCAGATGGCGGAGAAGGGCGACAACGCTGGGGAGACAGACGGCATCTGCGGGCTGGACCCTCCGACCCCCCCCGGCTCCCACCTCCGCCAGGATGGTGTCGTATGGGTTGCTCTCCAGGCACCTGCAGGCCTCCTCGACGGACGCGAAGGCGGTGACTGCGGGCGACGGGAACACATACTTCCGTCAGTCTCGACAGAGCGACGCGATCGCTGCGTGATTTACCGGCGAACCCGTTTCAAAAGCCACGTCTCTGCGGCCTGCTGCTTTTGTCCGCGGAATCGCCCTTACTGGTGCCGAGTCGCCGAGCCCGAGCTCGGCACTGGGCCCTCTCACCACCGCCTCCTCCCCGGCTTTCTCGAATGCCAGGAATGCGCGCTTCGCCTCCGTAGATGTTTTCCAGCCGTCGAACAGCTAGCGCGGCGTGCCAGGCGGCTCAGATTAGGACGCACGGGCGCGGGCGCGGCGACGTGCTCCGCCTTCGGGCCACCCACCGTCGTAGTCGCAGTCGTTGAGCTGCCGGACGACCTCCTCTCTGGCTCGCTTTTCCGACACGACGAGCAGGAACTTGGCAGCCAATCAAGAGTGAGGCAGCCTGAAGGTGCACGGGGGCGCCGCGCCAGGAGCGCCTACGGGCAAGCCGGCGATTCCTGGGACATCTGTGCGCACCTTCAAGCCCTGCGGGAACCCCGGCCGCTCCGACAGGCTGGGGACGCGGTCCATTGGGGCCCTCGACCGCGGCAAGGCGTCTCGGTGGGCGGCCCACACTGAGCGTGCCGCCCCTACGGCATGCGTGTCGCGAGAATTGCCGATCGACGCGCCCCGTTGTCGGCCCCTTGGCCGACCGCGCTACGGACGGGGTTGGGCGCAAGCCGGGGGACTGCGCGGGGTGATTTATCGCCAATAATGATGCATTCAA